CAGACCCTAAACCTTCAGACTTCAAGCCTGAAACGGTTTAGGGTTTAGGGTTTAGGGTTTAGGGTTTAGGGTTTAGGGTTTAGGGTGAAGCTTTCCTAGGTCCCCCAGTAGTACCCTTTTACGCTTTTTCTTTTTCGGCTCCCTTAATAAGACCAAATAGCAGGAAAAAGGGTACCCTTATTATTTAGGGGCTACTGGGGAACCTAGTTCTAGGGTTTAGGGTTTAGGGTTTAGGGTTTAGGGTTTAGGGTCTAGACCCTCAGCCCCAAAGCTCTAAACTGAAGCGTGAGCACTTGGGCTCAGGGCCTTGTACAGGCTTGTAGAGATCGTGAGCTTCTGACTTTTCACCTTTGCAGCCGCACTCGGCGCGAACGCAATTTATCCTAGAACCTTCGGTGTTGTTTAGGGGCCCTAAATTACCAATGCTATGTTGGGTGTTCCTCGTTATAATCATAGTATATTGGACCCCCAAACCCGAGTCTGATCAATAAGCCCCCTACAGTACATATCCTGACGGCGACTTTAAAAAGCAAAAAACCTGTCCAGACAACCCTAAGACCGTTTTTGCCCACGGGCCCCATGTTGGATCGGCTTTACGGTTTGGGCTTAGGGTCTAGGGATTAGAGTTTAGGGTTCCCTCGACCCGTGCATGCCCCGTACTTGCAGACAAGAATGCAAGCGTACGACCCTTCTGCTCCATCCGACCAATCTCAGTTCCAAGCGTACGAACGAACTACTCATGTCAGACCTCTGAACTCTGAACCCTGAAGCTCTAAAGCCGTAGAACTCTTTTCATCCGGAGCCCTATGAGGTAGGTCTAATCCTGATCTCCCACCGCAATACGCCCTTGTCCGAGACCAGCAGTGGAAGCGTTTTCCAAATCCGAAGCCCCACAGCCTCAACTCGAAACCCTAAATTTCTATTTCTGTAGAGTATTCACTAATTTAAGACCCGAGTCTTTGTAAACAACCGTTACTGTAGATTGAACAGTTGGAATCCCTCTGCCCGAAGTCGCTAAACCCGAAGCTCTGCCTTACCTCTGCTTGTTGGTTCCCTGCGGTGTTTCAACTTGCCGGAACATTCAGATGGAAGTAGTCGGATTGGGTCGGTATAAGATAGAAGTGTGCCGAGCCCTGATATTCAGAATAGACTGTTTACATGGCGTAGGCTTGAGTTTAAGGCACCCTACCCGAAGGCAGTAAAGAAAGCTAACCGGAGGCTGCTTCTACTTTCAGCATGCAGTCGACGGAGTTGGAGGAGCATGCCGAAAACCTAAGCCTAAACCTCACACCCCAAACCCTCAACGTATACCCCATAACCCTGAACAAAGACCCCAAACCCTAAACCCTAAACTCAAAAGCCTAAACGGAATGAGTGGGGGAGAAAGCCTGAAATCCTTACCCCGGATCTCTTCAAAGCAACATCTTAAAAGCCCGAACCTCTGACCTTAGATCTATAATCCTCCAAGTCCAAGTCATACCGCGCCTTGAACTCTGCCACCTGAGTGTTCCCATTCAGCATGTGGCTTTGGGACCTCATATTGGGCGGGGTTCGTGCGTGCTCAGCCACGGGTTCAGGGCTAGATGATGGGTGCATCAGGGTTTGGGGTACACCCTAGAGCCTAAACCCCTATAAACCCTAAACCCCTAAACCCCTAAACTCCATGTAAGAAGTCCTTATAGGAACAAGGAGTGGGTTCCAGGGTATTCTTACTCCCTAAACCCTGAACCCTAAACCCTATAAGCCCTAAACCCTAAACCCTAAACCCTAAACCGGTTCCAGGGTATTCTTACTACTCTGCTCTCACGGTTGAGGGCTTGTCGGCTCCGGGGCTGCTTTAAGCTGCTCGTCTACAGCCTGTGAGATACGGTTAATGATACAAATCCTGCGTTGCCCATAATAAGGAAGATACCATAGCTCCCATAGTATAGGGTCCTGAAGGTAATGCAGGATTTAAATCATCAGCAGTCTCAGAGTAACTTGGGGGCCTGACTTGTTAGTAGTAAGATGCCTTACGGCCCCTTACTGTAGCGACAAGATAGCAATGTCTGAGCCCCGAGTCTACTTATTGAGGTTCCAATATCATGATTTGGTCTGTTAGTTTCGACGAGCTGCTAAACCCCTAAACCCCGAAACCCCAAGCCCTAAACCCCTAAACCTTAAACCCCAAAAGCCTAAACCCCTAACCCTAAATTGTAAACCCCTAAACCCCTAAACCCCTGAACCCTAAACCCTAAATCTAAACCCTAAACCCTAAACCCCTAAACCCCTGAACCCTAAACCCTTGAACCCCAAACCCTAAACCGGGAGGTCCAGGGCCCAGGGCTTAAATCCTAAGCGCCTCTTGAAGACTCAGTCCCTTGACCCAGGGCTTCTCATATCTACGATTCTCTGCGTTCAGGGTCTCTGTCAGGGTTTAGGGTTCAGGGTTGATAAGGTTTAGGGCTTTAGGGTTTTAGGGTTTAGGGTTTTAGGGTTTAGGGTTAGGGATTGGGGTTTAAGGGTTGCTTTGGTTACACCCTGAACTAAGCACTCATGAATTCACTCCGGAGCCTGAAACCCCACACACTGAATCATGAACCCTCTTCCCCTTGTGAAGCCATCCCCTTCAAAAGCCCTTAAGCTCTACCTGGACCCTAAAGAACATATCTTTTTAGGGTTCCTTATTATGATTTCCTTATATAAGTCCCTGAAAAGGTAGGTTATTTCGGGTCCAGGTACAATGCCATATACATCTATGCAAGTATGCCGATGAGCAGCTGACGAGCAGTGATATTCAGTGATATTCCCCTGAGTCCTAAAGCCTTAAATACCAAAAGACATTATTACAGTACCCTAAAGAAACCGAAAACAAAAGCCCCTAAACCCCCGAAATCCTAATCTCAAAGCCGTACGGCGTAGTTACAAAGCCTTTAGAGCACTACAGCTACACACTCCTAAGCCCTCAACCCCTAAAGGCCATATATCCCCGCGACCCCAAACCCTAAACCCTTAACTCCCAATCCTCTTAACCCGAGACCCCAAACTCAGAAACTCGAAAAGGACGCCGACGACCAGCGTCAGCTGAGCAGTTCGGGCGACCCTCCTCCTCCCAGCTTCGGGAGCGCTGGTCACCCTGAGGCCATTCTACTCCTTAGTTACGTATTAGGGGGAGAATAGGGGTTCCTGTAAAGGATTCTTTAAAAGGGATATCATAAGGGCTATAATTCTATAGTATAGGGGCTTTAATAAGTAGAATAGGATTTTGAGCCCATTATACTATAGTTGTTACAAAGAACCCCGAAAAGACTATTGGTAATTAATTAGGCCATTAAGCCTTAGAGTGCTCTTAGAGTGCTTAAAGTTTTCTATACCCGCTTAGGCTTGGACTGAGTGCTCTTAGAGTGCTTAGAGTTTTCTTTCAGGGTTGTTGATGATCTCTATGGTTTAATGACGTCTTATTGAGGGTTTCTCGCTGAGGTTGAGGGTTAAGGGTCTAATAGGGCTGTTCAGTCGGGTCCTGCAGACCCATGGGAGTAAGGGCTTTGGTTAAGATGTCGCTTGCGATTGTGGGTTGGAGGGTATGGGGTTCAAGAGGGTTTAGGGCTTTAGGGTTGACGGTTTAGGGGTTTCGGGTTTCAAGCATAGGGTTTAGGGAAGGTTCACAGTTTGGGGCTGTAGGATTTGTGGGCTTTCGTATGGGGATTGCCGTTGCGAGGCACTTGGGTTTTGGGTTGAGGCTCGTCGGAGACTCAAGGCTTTATTTATGCCTCGGAGTTTAGAGCTTGGGGTTTGGCCGGCCCACGATGGTATAGGGTTTAGGGCTTCAGACTTATACACGTATATATACATATGTATGTATATATATATATATATATACATATATATATATATATACACACACCTGTGTAGGGTTTGTGAGCCTCGAGGTTTATGGCCCCAACGAGGTTTGCCCAACGAGGGCGGTTTATGAAGCCAGAACCCTCTTTGTTTTTCGCGGGGTTCCAGGTTAGACTCTACATGGCTGTTCGATCGAAGCTCCAATCAAGAAGGCTTTGGCTTCGCACGATAAAAGTTGAAACACGATGGTGTCAAATCGTCACAACTACTTCTGACTTTTCAATCCCTGCTTCTCATGTTGTGGCTTGCTGTCCTCATATGGCCGCCGTGAAGTATCCCATGATACAGGCACCTGGGCTTCTAGAGTGAGGAAGAGACAGACCACAGCAAGCAGGACACACCCTCTCCAGCAGCAACATCAAGCTGCGGGCAAATCGAAACGAAAGTGTTATGGTTACCATGGAGGCCCCAGCAGCACCTAATAGTTTATAACTGCTTGGCAGGGACGGGACCTAGCGTCCTGCTCACATTTCAAGAACCTGACCCAGAAGCCCCCTGCTCTCAACAGCAGCTTACCTGCCGCCTGAAAGTGGCCCGTGTTCCAATCGGGTGAGACGAGATACAGTCAAGAACAGGGGCAATAGGTCTTTAGCACAGGGACACCGGATTCTACATGTCTGGATACAGACATGCTACATGTACAAAACGATCGAGCAGACAGATGGGCATGTAGATAGATAGATATATAGATAGATAGATAGATAGATAGATAGATAGATACCCAGATAGATAGACAGGTAGATGGATTTGTAGATAAATAGACAGATAGATAGATATGTAGACAGACTAGATAAGTACATAGATAAACAGTCAGGCAGATAGATAGATAGATCGATAGATAGATAGACAGGTAGAGTGAGTGAAGCAGATGACCCCTCGAGACCTTAGAAAGCAAGCGCGCTCTTGTGGGTTCGTTCGTGATTGACTGACAGTAGCTCTTACAGAAACCCGGATTAGTTTAGGTGAGGACGGTGCTATACCGATATGTAAATATGTACCTGCATAAGAGGGCTCTTAAAGGCTAGGAACCCTATGATTCCATCAGACTGCTTGTGTCCGGAGACCCAGAGCTCGGCCCAAGACTCGGAAGTTGCGGAATGTAGGCTTCGCACTCCGCGCCAATGAGCTGCTGCTCCTGGAACAAGACACCGACGCCATTGGAGCTTTATGCCAAGTCTCTGCCGGACGATGTTGGTGCTGCTGGGCTGCTTCGGGCATGCCACATGTGAACGTCTTTCTCTATGTAGAACTGGTTACGTCCGCCGTTTGTTCTTTTGGCCTGGAGGGGACTAGGAAGGGGGGGATCTAAGTCCTATACCGTAAACAGCAGCGCGACAAGCAGTGGGTGGTCTGCAAAGAGGATGGCATGCGCAAGGCCAAAACCCTAAACTCTAAGCCACCTGTTTCGCAACTTTCGAGTTGCTGCGTATAGGGAGCTGGACCAGTGTGGAAAGTCGCCCTTGGCTTGTGATACATGAGTGCAGCAAACGCAGGGATAGTCTATCATCGTGTCCTTTGCCGATGGCCTGCATATACAAACTCTTGTGTCTGTATAATACATATTACAATATGTATACATATACATATACGTATACATACATATTGCATACATACATACATACATACATACATATATACACAAGCACACATTCTCTCTCTATTACTACATATGATTATAAATCTATATATATATATATATGTATATATATATATATATATACACATGCACATAAACATATGCATATACACAAAACATACGGGTACCCATACATACATATATGTATATATATATATATATGTGTATATATGTATACATATGTACATACACACACCTACATACATCGACATACATATATCACACGTATACATACGTATACATACACATACCTACCTACCTACCTACCTACCTACCTACCTGCCTACCTACCCACCTACCTACCTACCTACCTACCTACCTACCTGCCTGCCTACCTACCCACCTACCTACCTACCTGCTACCTACCTACCTGCACCTACCTCCCTACCTACCTACCTACCTACCTACCTACCTACCTACCTACCTACTTACCTACCTACCTACCTACCTACCTACCTACCTACCTACCTTCCTTCCTTCCTTCCTTCCTACCAACCACCTACCTACCTCCAACCTACCCACCCACCCACCCACCCACCTGCCTGCCTACCTGCCTGCCTGTTCTTCTTTGCAATGAAACGAAAGAGAGAGAAGTGAAAGCCACCCACCTACCTACCTACCTACCTTGTCAATACCCAATATCGCTACAAGCTTCGTCACCCTGTCGAACCGTACTCACCCTGATAAATGTTACACCCAGTTAGCGATTTCCCGAGGCGGGTAAACTTGCACCCAGCTCGGGGTTTGCTGGAATCCCTGGGAATTTGCCGACAAGTTTTTTTGTGTTTTTTTTTGCGTTGCGGCGATCTGCTTTTCAGCGTTTTCACGTGTTTCCATTTGCCTTTGCGACACCAGTTGATGAGTCTTTATCCTATTGAAGGTCCAATTGCTCGCCGGCGACTGAGTACTCTTGGTTCCCAACCCTCCTAAACGGCCCACCCGCCGTCCCAATCCTGTCCGGTCGCGCCTCACAGCTCGAAACTCCATAACATAACACACAAGTGCAAAACAAACTTCTACTGAGAGAACCAAGGCCTTTAAACCTCTCACAGCGTTAAACAGGGCTTAAAACCTCAGAGCTTGGCCAAAAGTTGCACCCTTTTGCAACGCTTCGTTGCGCACCCCTTGGCAGACGGCAGCGAGCCAGGAGACGCCCACGGCATACCGTCCCTGCAAAGTGTTAGTTAGAGCCTCTTCGGATATGTTTTCTATCTTTGACCGCCGTTTTTTGGCTTGAAAATGCTGGAATACAGGCTTGTATAGTTTTTGTTTGGGGTTTCAAAAGCTTGTAAACGCCTCGCCAAAACGCTTTTGATGTCTGTTTGTAGTGATGAAGTTGGTCTCCACGTGCCTTGTGTTGTTAATTGCTGTCTTAGATTATCTTTTGTTGTCAAAGTTTGTCTTAACTTGTCTTAACAAGATTTTGCGCCCCGAGGTTTAAAGGCCCGAGGATATTGAGAGTCTGGAAAGGCAGTGAGTATAGCAAACGAAAGACCTACGTTGGACAGTAGAGGTATGTGTACAAAAGAATATACATATGCATGCCTGCATTATATATATATATATATAGTGTATGCATGTACCTACGACTCCGCTTACCTACCCAGTCTCAACGGAGCCTGGAGACCCTAAGCCTATCTTCGCGTAAGTAGCCCTTGAGGCAAGTATACCTAAACCGTAGACCCTGCCCCTCGGAAGTTTAGCCTAAGGGTCCATGTACCCAAATAGTATATACTTTTGCCTCAATGTAGTCCCTATATAGGTACTTAAGTATATACTATTTGGGTACATGGGCCCTTAGGGTTAGCTTCTTAACCCTAACCCAAACCCCAAAATTGGTCTAGGCTCCGATGCTGTTCCCGATGTACACAGTTGCTGTCGACGCGCTGCTGAAGATGACTGAGATCCTGCCACACGAGGAGCTCAAGGCATGATTTTCTGAAAGGAACGAAGAAAGGGTTTAGGGTTTAGGGGGTTAGGCTTTCGGGGTTTAGGGTTTAGGGTTTAGGTTTAGGCTACATCCCTCTATAGTCCCTGCGGTTGTAAGCCACACAGCCAAAACTTAGGGTTTAGGGCTTAGGTTACCTCCCTCTATGGTCCCAGTGATCGTAAGCTACACAGCCAAAACCTACCATGAAGGAGGCCTTAAGAGAAAGCTCGCCTAAGCCCCAATCTACAAGGTTTAGGCACGAGGCAAGAGGTTTCGGTAGCCAAATGTGGAGGTCTACGCAGTATGCTGGGAAAGGAAGATATAAGAACTCCAAACTCCAAGTCGTGTCTTCCTCTGTTTTCTTTAGGTGAGTTGAAACGGTTCAGGGTTTAAGTTTTACCTATAGTGTCCATCGTAGTTCCTTTTTTTGGTTTAACCAATAAATTATATATATCCCCCAAAAGGAACTACAATGGAGACTATAGGTAGAGCTTGATCTAGAGACCTCGAGCTGCTGCTGGGCTGAAGGCACAGGGCAAGCTCACCATCTTCGAAGCCCGCGCGACGCAGAGGGCGGCCTTTGTGTCACACCAATGGGTCTCAAGGGATCATCCTGATCCCGAGTTTCGACAGATGAGGATTCTGCAGGATTCCCGGAATCTTAAACCCTGACCCTGCGGCCAAGACTCTAAATCCTGAACCCTCTTCGCTGCAAAAAAATATTGAAGACGCGAAGCTTAAAGGCTTAAGTTCAACCCTTTAGACCTTGAAGCCTAAGCACAAAGCCATACTGTACCTGTAATGTAGGGGCCTAGATAATTACCAATACTATTTTGGGGGTTCCTTATTATAGTACAGTGGGCCCCAGAACCCTATTCTAATTATCAAGGCCCCTGTATTGGTTTCCATTGTAGTCCTCTTGTGTTGGTTAACTGTTTTTCGTTGCAGGATCCCCCAAGAACGGATTACAATGAAGACTAGACTATTGGTAAACCCTAAACCCTTCAACAACAAAACCCAAACCTTAAACCCAAAACCCTATACACCTTAAGTCCTAAACCCGAAACCCACCTTAAGTCCTAAACGCGTAGCATGAAAAGAAACCCCAAACCCTAAATGCCCGAAGCAAAACTGCCAGGATGCTTTGCAGGAGATGACCGGAAGATTGAAGGCCGTGCCTTTGGATTTTGTCACGGAGACCTTGGTTCCGAGTGCCGCACCTCTGCCGATGGAGGACTTCAAATCTTGCAGCGTCTTCGTTTCTAGGTACCGATTTGTTCGATTTGGGATAGTTGTCAGTTTCCCTTATTCTGTTTGGTAGAACCTTCATTGAAAGCAATTTTGGGTGTGGAAATCGATACTAGGTTTGGTATGACTACTTCTCTTGCCCACAGCTGGAGCGGCGCAAGTCGTGGTCGTCTGACCAGAGCGACGGGAGCCAGCAGGCCAATGCCATAAACAGCATTCCGGCCTATGTGGCCAACTGCCAGCTTTTCTTGGCTCTTTGTCCGGTGCTCGACTGCCCCTGCGACTCTAAAGTGCTTTCCTCGACCACGTGGAGACAGCGCGGCTGGTGTCGTGTAGAGCGCACAGCCAGGGAGCTGTCCACCGACAGCACTTGGATTCTGATTCAGAGCAGCTCCAGCATCTGGGTCCTTGTTGAGGAGCTGATTTTAGCTTTCCCAAAAGCTCTCTTTATTTATTTATTTATTTCTTTCTTTCTTTTCTCTCTCTCTATATATAAACATACACACACATATATATATATATATATATTATATATACACGTATAAGTATATATATATATATATGTGTTTGTACAAGTGTATATATATATATATACATAGACAAAAAAGAAGATGGTCTCCTCGCTGTCTCTCAACTCAATCTAAATATGAGTGAGCGCTTCCCAAGAGCTCAGGTATTGAGCTGGTCGGGGCTGTGCTTTCCTTCCCGACAGGATCTGTAGGCGACTGTCAGGTGCTTAGTGGGGAATGGGGGAATGGGTTATAGGGACTACTATAAGGGACCTTCAAGGGACTATCATAGGGATCCATTCCCCCATTCCCTGCCTAAGCACCAGACAGGCGAAGGCGAGTTCACGAAGGAAGTGGACCGGCAAAAACTGGCCCCGGTGATGCAGAGCATCGTGACGCGGAAGCTGCTGCACTGTCTTCGGGCCGGTGACTTTCCCGGCTTTCGCCGTTACTTCAACTTGCAGAATGTGCACCTCCGTGGGTTGGAGATCGAACCGGTTAGGCTCCTTCCCAAGAGCGATCGAGAGGGGCCCATAGAGGATGCTGTGTCGAAGTTCCTACGCCAGAATGGCTTGAGGAGTCCTACTAAATCTGACAGAGCAGGATGGTTTCCTCTGCACTACGCGGCATTGTCTGGTAGCGTCGAGGTGATTCAGGGGCTCTTGCAGCAGCGGGCCTCCGTGAATCAGAGGACTTCAAAGGATGAGCCAGTACTGGGCTTCCCGCTTTGGACGTCGGCCCTCGACCTGGCAGTGTCTTACAAGCACCACGATGCAGCAAGGTGGCTGATTGGAGCAAGGGCCCACTTGGAGGGTGGGCTGATTCCTGCCATGAGTGCTGCAGCCCTGTCGAACAATCCCGAGGGCATCCGCTTGCTTTGCGCCGCGGGTGGCCAGCCGCTGCCGAGGAATAGATTCGGGCAAAGCGCGTTGGATGCTGCTGCAGCTTATGGAGCTGAGGAAGCACTCGAAGAGATACTGGGCTTTGGAGTACCATACTTTAATACTTTTTTTGGGATCTGTTCCTTAAAGGAACCATTATAAAATAAAAGTCTATACTTTTTGCCCTGGTTACTTCAAAGCCCAGGATAGTGGCTCAAGGGCACCCAGGGCCCTTGGATCTATCCATGGCCCTATTCATGGCCGCGAAATTTCGGGGTGGATCGGCCGAGATGGTCCGTCGCCTCATTTACTTCCGAGCCGATGTTGACTTTCAACTTGACATGAGCCGCGACTTTACACTCCTCGGCCGACTTCTCTTTGGAGCGAAAGCCGTGCAGTACAGGATGGGACAGGTCGGGGCTGGTTCTGAACCATTGTCTCCTGCCTTGTTTCCGTAAACTCCCATCCAATTAGATAGAGACCTCGCATATTGTAAACAACATGCTCTCTGAATATTTATAAATAAATAGATATAAATAAATAAATAAATACATATATATATATATATATATATAATATATATATATATATATATATGAATATCATACTTCTGCAGTCAAGATCACGATTCGAGTCCCCAGGTCACGGTGCTCTCCTCCGTCTGCTATCATCTCCACGGCAGCACTCCGCTAATGCAGGCTGTGCGTTCGGCTCAATACGATGCCGCTGCAGCCTTGATCGCTGCCGGTGCAAAGCTGAAACTCCGGAACTGCCGCAACTGGACCGTGGCGGACTTTGCGAGAGGCCACTGCATGCCGCGCTTTCTGCAGCAAGGCTTCGAGGAGACTTGTCGAAGACAGGGTGTCCTTGCTACCACTGGCTGACAGACGAGCAGTGAGGCAGGTTTCAAGAAAGCACGGATAAGTGCTCGTCTCTACACCGGGGAAGCCAGATGTAGAAAAAAACAATCTGTTCAATACCTGCTGCAAGCTTATGCGGGCGAGCCTTTGGCGCTTGCTGAGCGGTGTGCAGGTGAAGGTGGCATTCAGGACTTACAAGCGCTTATGCAAATGATGGTTGCATCTCGTCCATGTCTCGAACTCTATACCCGGCGATACACCGAATAGTTTCAGGACCCCCAAGCCCATTACAGTGTCCTATGGCTGGGGAAGAGCTTGCAGACAGATGTTTTTTCTAGAACGGTTTAGTGTGTTAGGGTTTGTGCGATGGCCTCCATTGCAGTTGTTGCTTGTGGTTTCCCCTGTATGCTGGACTTAAGCAAACATAGACATAAGCATGCGGATCAGGTTGGATTGTTGTGCTGGTCGCCGCATTCACGGTGTAGGTTCTGGGGATTGCACTAACAGTGGAGGTGGGTGTGCCGTTTAGGCTAGGCGTGTTTGGGGAGTTGAGGGTAGGGTTTAACTATCCAACTGCATAAAGCCTCTTTGGAACCCACACAGGGCCCCCCGTCTCTGTGTGTGTGTGCGTGTTCCGTTGTGCTTCATACAACACTACTGGACTCAAGCTTCAGCAACAGCCGTTCAGGTTGCGCGTATGTCGGTGATGCCGCAAGAATCTTGAAGTTACGAAGTGTACGAACGAACCTCGTTGCGGTAACTTAAGTTCTCTCCCTATAAAGCTTTCTAGGGTTAAAACCTAGATACAGCTGCACAGAAAACCGTTGTGGCCTTATGACGTCTTATGGCGCCCGAAACCCTGTGAGCTCTTGAAGTCCTAAACTAAACTTCCCCCAAACAACACACACACACACACACACACACACGTTGCAGGTGTGCGGACGCCCCTGCATTCGCTTTCTGCATGGCTCCTTGGTCGAAGGATTGCGGTTTGGTGCTTTAGGGCTGCAGGGCTCCTGGCTCCTTGAAGAGTTCCCTTAAGAGCTACTCTCAGGGCTATAGAGATGGTCTTAAGGCACTTTAGGGCTGTAGGGCTTTATAGGGCTACGATTTGGGGCTTTAGGGATTTGGGTTTCAGGGCCCTCGCGGTGACAACCCTTTCATCGCTAGAGTCGCATGGATACGATCTGGTCACTATCACAGTCCGACGCAGTCTGGTAAAAGTTTAGAAAACCCTATAAAGGCCACTTCTCGTCTCGGCGCCCAAGTAGGATAGGGTTTTCGGATTTTGGTGTATTCGGGCGCCCGGGTTGCTCGCTTTAGGGCTTCAGGGTGTTGTGGTTTAGGATTGGAGAAATCCTTTGTTCGCCCCCGTCTGCACATATCTTGACACGCACACACATGCACCAGAAGTAAAAGTTTATTCAAGGACTACAAGACAAAGCCCGTGCTCTTGAAGTAAACACGCACGGTGTTGGATTCCTCGGGCAACAACCTTGAACCCTTGAAACACCCGATCTAGACTGCTTCATGGGACACGGGAGGTTGCAAGTAGGGCTAGGTCGTTATTGCATACTACCATGAATTGGATTTCTAGCTACTGGAGCCTCTCAGAATCGCGCCACCCCAAAGTAGTCCCTTAACCCTAGCTAGTGCTCTGTGTAGGATCCCTGCCGCAGAGCCCGAGGTTGATATGCCTGCAATTCCTATCAACTTCACACCATGTACACCCCTGAACCCCGCGTCTTGAACAAACCAGCAGACTCAGAAGAAGCTTGCTGTTCCTAAACCCTGCACTCCAAGCCCTTACACTCTAAACCTTGATGATGATCAGGGGAGCGTACTTGCACCAGCACCAGTTGGTCGTCCTGGTTCCCTTGCTCGTCTTCACCCCCTTCCTCAACAGCATCACGAGAATCATCATCGTCGTCTTCTCATGGCTCTGCCTGCTATAATCGTCGTCATACTGCTTTCCCATTACCGCAGCTAGATGTCCAGTCGTAGTCGTCCTCCAAGTTCATCCGTTGCACCGCTCAGCGTCGACCAGTCAGCACTTGTCAGGGCTGTTGTTACTGTCGTTCGTAATCTTGGTCAACAGCATGCTTCTGGTCGTGGCCAGTAGCACAACCATCACCGACATCATCATTATCATCATCATCATCATCATAATCATCATCATCATCATCATCATCATCGTCATCGTCGTCATCGTCATCGTCATCGCCATCATCGTCATCATCGCCATCATCATCATGATGAATATCTCTCTTCGAAAACAGGTATACGGTTCTGTTGCATCCCCAGGCCGATCATGTTTGTGCTTAATCACGAACGCCCCTATATTGGTCCCTCATTCGGTCCATGGTGGTGCTCGAACCACGCAGTGCTTTCTGCATATATCATGCTTGATGTTTCGTTCAACTAATTGTGCCATCATCACGGCTATGATATAAGTTGTAACCGCACGCGTTCAATGTCAGCCTGTGATTATCATACAGGTCATACCCGATGGTTTGGAGAAAAGGTAGGGCATGGATCTTATTTGCCAGGTTAGGTTAAGGGTTTCGGATCCAGGTATACGCAAACCCTGAATCTTAAACCGAAAGGGTAAACCAGCAGTGGATATGAAAGAGAGGCGCTCAGAGACATAAGCAAGAACACGATACACCCTTTGGATGCCCTCATATAATCCTTTCGGCGCCATGTAAAGAAGCACCCGAGAAAAACAGCCCTCCAAACAGCCAATACACTAAAGTCTAAGCTGCCGGCTGAGGTACTTGCGAGCTGGACTCCCGCTGCCAATTCTGCCACATGGAGCACGGGAGGCGCACTGGATACTGATTGCTCCAGACAAAATATATTATGTGCATACATGTAGTATAGCTTCCCCTTCTCGCCGAACGCTGAAACCACCTTTTTGACCCCACAACTCCAACCGCCCAGCCCTGATCTCTGGCCCGGAACAAGAAGAAAGGCGGCGAGGTGTGGGCCATATCGTGCCGTGCCTACTAAGAGTTTACTTTAGAACATCAGGGGCCTTGACCATGTCAACAGGGTTTGGAGGTAAGAGATTGTAGGCGGAACTAGACTCAGGAGAGTTGACCGAAGTGTTCCTAAATCAGCATATCTTCAAACAGCCCTTGTAAGAACCCGTTTTTTGAAACCCTTTTTCGGGAGCCCTTTACAAGTCTAATGGTCCCTTATCGGAAGCCGATAGAGCCCTTAATGTGTGGATCGCCCTTACACAAGCCCAGGGAGCCCAAAACCCTAAAACCCCCTGAACCCTAAACCCTAAACTCTATACCCTAAACCCTAAACCCTAAACCCAAACAAACAACCCATAAAAAGTGGTCCTTTGAGAGGCCCAAAGAGAAGTTGGACAAGCAGCGCCGGAAGTTGATGGAGACGCTGAATGAGACCCAGGTCGACGCTTGGGCGTCCTTTTCCGGGGGGCATTTTTGGGTTTAGGGGTTTGGGGGTTTCGGGTTTTAGGGTTTAGGGTTTAGGGGTTTAGGGGTTTAGGATTTAGGGTTTAGGGGTTTACGGTTTTAGGGTTTAGGGTTTACGGAGTTCCTAGGGCAGAGCCGGGCAGAACAGGATGAGCCAGGATAGAGTATGTGCTGTTTAGGGTTTAGGGTTTAGGGTTTGGGGTTTAGGGTTTCTGGATAGCCTTCACAGACTTGGCATACTTTGTTTGTGCAATAGGCAGTGATGGTTACGGCGGGTTTGCTGGGTTTACAGGTCTTGAATGATTCGTGCATGGTGCAGTTGAAGGTAAAAAGTGTTACCAGGGTTTTAGATTTTCTCATTGAGTTTTGGGGCATTATATTAGGTGAGTCATGTCTGCATAGCAGTAGGGGGAGGGTTTGCGAGCATAGCCGGCATAGCCAATACCGAGACCTGTCTTTACAGGGAGTTGCTAGAAGGGCTGAATTTCTTCGGGGATTGGAAGTTAGGGATTGTTGTTTGGAAGCAGTCGCTTTTTGAGTCGTGGGCTTAAGCGAGATCTTTGAGGCTTAATTAGATGTAGATGAAGTTTCCGGGTGCGTGTACCTTTTTATGAGCACAGTGTACATTTCTATAATCACAGAGGAGGGGTTACTCCCGGAAGGATTTGCCAAGTCATCCAAACTCATGCGAAAAGTCTGAGGCTGAGGTTTTGGCTAACTACCACCCTGGCAACCTTAGGATGTACGGTTGAGGTTTCGCACTTTGCTGTTTGGGGGTTTAGGGCTTCAGATTTGGGACTGAAGCCCCGGTTTAGGGTTTAGGGTTTAGGGTTTAGGGTTTAGGGTTAACATACTGGTCGGAACAACCAGTAGCAGTATCCCTAGCCCTTAACAGGTCTATTGCAGTACCCTCTTCGCAAAAGTAGTCTCATAATTCATGCAGGTTCACATCCCGATATCATGTTTGGGTAGCTGCCCGGGAGGTCGTGTGTGGCTGGCACGGCAGTGCACGCAACCAAAAGCCCCAAAACCCTGAACCCTCGAACCTGAAGGCTGAAAAGCACCTAAGAATAGAGCGCAAGCCTCGAACCCGTTTCTAGGCCTTAAAGCCCTGTAGGTCCTTCTTCCATTGAAAGCTCGCTGAGCCGGTTCCTTGAGGTGCTTTCGCTGCTTCTACCCCACATCCGCGCCAGGGCTCAGGACAAGGCACCTTCGTGGTCTTAGGCAGAGGCATTATTCGCGTGGTCGCGGGCGTGTATACTTTGATACTTTGGCTTGTAGCCTTCTTAGGGTTCAGTTGGGGGTTTCCGACAATAGGGGACCCTAATAGAGTAGCCTAAATAGTAGGATCCTTATTATAAGGACCCCAAAATAGGGTACCCCGTATTTTCGGAAACCCCCAGTTGTCGAGCTATCGGGCTTCTTGGGTTAGAGTGTGGGCTTTAGGGATTACAGTAGAAGCCAGAAAGTTGGAACATCATTATCCCCATGCCCTGAAGGCAAATCATTGGGAGTTCCAGCACCAATCATCCTAAGTCCATGTTCCAACTTTCTGGGGTTTACTATAGAAGGCTAGCAGAGGGTTTGGTGATGTTTTGCTTTGAGCCCCAGCCTGAATCTCCAAAGGCAGCCCTGGCCTCAAACCCAAATTTCCCATAATAGGGACTCATATAAGGAAGTCATGAGAAGGAACCCTAAAAAGGTACGTTCTTTTGGGTCCAGGTTTACTCTAGACCCTAAACCCTGAAACCTGGGCCCTAATTCTGCATTCTTCTCCTTGTAGGTCGAAGTGTTCAGTAACAGCGAGGTTTAGGATTTGAGGCTTTAGGTTTGTGGGCTTTCAACCATTCCTCTGACTATAATGTCCGACAGGAACAGTAGCGACCGGCCGCTGGAAAGGGGGTTCGAGAACTCGAGCTGTTTTGCTTTTCTCGGGTACCTACTAAACCTAATACTCTAATCCCTCAAAACCCCGAGGTCAGTGCATGTGGGTAGTTCTCTAAATTAGGGTCCCTTTGTAGGTCCCCAATATAGTACGGCACCCTTCTAAAAAGGAACCCTATCTCACAAAATGCATCTGCAGCAAGTAGCCCCGAGCATAGCTTGCGGAAACTTCCTGCGGACAGGGTCTGGCAGAGCAGATGGCGCCCTTGATCCAGCTGCTGGAAGAGATTCTTGGATGCAATATACCGATAGTCTCCATTGTAGTTCCTTTTGTTGGTTTAAGCAGTTCTATATTAAGGATTCTATAAGGTATCCCCAAAAAAGGAACTACAATGGAGACTATAGGTAGGGGCTTTGGCAACCAGAATATATAGGGTGACTAGGGCTCTGGGAGATTGAAATATGAATATGAAGCCATACAGAAGTATTCTGGGTTTAGGGTCTAAGGTTTAGGGTTCAGGGTGGTGCATATCCAGGCTTCTGTATTGGATACCCCAGGTCCATTTCAGCGGTTCCTGCCGGGGGGGGGGGTGCATGTCCGGTTCATGTTCCAATAGTGCAGGGGCCTCAAGAATTACCAATATTTTGGGGTTCGAATTACCAAAACCCTATTCTAGTCATTCAGGCCCTTATATTACAAGAGTGCCTCAGTGATTGGAGTTCCCTAGGGAAGTAGATCCGAAACTTCCCGGCCATCCGAAAAGCCACGGCCTAGCACCAAATCCTGACCCCCCAAACGGTTTAGGGTTTAGGGTTTAGGGTTTAGGGTTTAGGAAGCCTTAGTCCAGGTTCTAAGCCCTGAGACAAACTCCGATGTTGCCCTGCTGGCCAAGGTTTATTTTTCAAATCCGAACACCCGGTGAATCTCTAGGACTTGACCACACTTTTCGAAGTCGCAGGGCCTCCACTTCAAGAAGCCCTCATGACCTCGGCTGGGCGGCCAAGTGGTTCTAGATCGTCAGGTCCGCATCTAAAGCCTAAGCTCAAACAATACATCCAAAAATGGCGAGCGAACTCAATGTATGTGTGTGTGTGCCCGTACATATGTACACAGTACACAAGCATCATACCGCTATTGGTCACGCCCCGTCCGTAATACTTGGAAGTCACAGGCTCGAAGACGCCTAAAACCCCAGTAACCTACTATAAGCGCCTAAATGAATACCAATACTATTCCTCAGGGCTCCTTACCATGCATACAATAGTAGAATATACACCAGGAGCCATTTATGCACTCTTGTTCTAGATATGCATACATTCAACGCGGGGTCGTTCAACACGTCACGACAACTTCAACATACTTCTACTTTGCCTAGCCCGTGGCTCCAGATCGCAAGGACACTGAGCAGCATGGACGCCACGGCGGTTCCACGCAATGCCTCCAGCCACCTGGGTGCACAGTGCATGTGAGGCTGTTCTAAAGCATAGTGAGGCCCCATGGGTTACTCCATCAGCACCCGGACCGCCGGATCAGAGGAAGCCAGAGGGGGCTTCATTTTGGAACATCTCCTAGTCCTGGAATTGAAGCCTTAATAGTCCCTCTCTCATTATCGCAAAGATATGCACCAACATTAGTCTATACATAGAGGCCCCTATATGTCCGATAAGGCTATCGAGAGAGCCTCGATGTGGTTCCAAGTTGATAATGTTGGCTTTGAACAGGGGTTGTCTTGTCGTTGTCGAGTTTAGGGTTTAGGATTTAAGGGTTAGGGCCTAGTTATCCGGCATGGCAAGGCATAATAGAGGATTTGACGGTTTGCCTCCTTTCGGTAGAGAGTCATCTCGAGTTGCCCTGTGGGGGTTCAGCGCCGACCAGGCTTAACTTCAGGCTTTGTCCGGGGTCTACAGTATTTCAAGTGCGCCCGTCCTGACCAGTCCAGCCGTCCGGCTCGAAGCTTAGCAACCCTGAACCCCAAACCCTAAACCCTGAACCCCTGAACCCCTAAACCTACTCATTTTCCCCTATAGACCCTAAACCCTGAACCCCTAAACCCACTCATATTCCCCTATAAACCCTAAACCCTGAACCCCTAAACCCACTCATTTGCCCAGGACCCTGAACCTGGCACCCAAAATCCCGAACCCTAATCCCGAAACTGGATTTGCCCTCGGATGTGAAGTGTCGGTGGTGCAGGGTTTAGTGGCCAGGCTTGATGCAGGCCTGGGTATCGAAGATGTAGGTCAGAATTCTGGGTTGCCCTAAACCCTAAACCCTAAACTAAACCCTAAACCCAGCCGAGGCTTTTTGAAACCGGTCCTCAAAAGGCTCGGAGAAGGGGCAGCGGACTGGGCGTTTCTATGGCTCCTGAAGTTTCCGGCGCTTAGTACTACTTAGTACGTGATTTTGACTGCTTGCACGAGTCTTTCTAGTGAAAGGTTTTTGGGTTTAGGGGTTTAGTCTTTGCAGTGAAAGGTTTTTGTTCGCCGGTCCCTGTTGTAAACGTTCAAGCAAGAGTAGGTGAGGAGTGGATGTTGTAGGTTATCGCCTGAGGCTCCTCGCACGGACGACGATGACCATTGCCACCACTACATTAGTATTCTTGCTATGGCTGATCTAGTGTTACCACTAAAACCTCAGGCCTTGCCTCAGTGATACTTCAGGCTGGGACTCTAACCCTTCATGTGTTTCGGCCGTGCACCCTTAACGCTTAGCCTCGTCTAAGGGACTCGTAGTTTTATTGTTGGTCTGTAGGGATCAAGAAAGAGGGGCGGGAAGGACTCCTTGCCCCGCTACCGGACTTTCTGTTCAGATTGGTGTTTTGCCGAAGTAATTAGGGGCTCCTTGAACTTGTTTTCGGGTTTTCTAGTCAGATCTAGTCAGGATCCTATTCATGGGGGTTTGCTAAACGCCTGCTTGATTTCCTCCAAAATTGGCTGGGGAAGTACTAAACCCTATTCAAAACCGCCGCATACAACATCTGAACACAGCTGGGATGATATAGGGTTCGTGTGAGTGCATTCGGGTGTCGTGTTGGAGGTACTAATAACAGAAACACTGCTTCACGTGTTTATTGGAGATCAATCCAGTTTGCGGGTACTGACTGGGTTCTAAGAGTAGGGGTGCAAGTGCTTTGTTGCCCTGAAGTCCAAACCCTAAACCTTGCACACCTACACCCTGAACCGTAATCCTTACAGCCTCAGCCTTCAATTTCCCTAGGTCCCCTGATCATTCAACTGAAAGAGGTTCAGCCTCGCACGCTTGGTTGAGCTCATTATTGGCAGCCGGCAGGCGTCTCGCGACGATCTTGTTTGGGTGCGTGGGGGTGTAGGACTTCGAGGGGAGGCTCCAGGCTTTTTAAGCTTCGGTTTAGGGTTTAAGACTTTAGGGGTTTAGGGTTTAGGGGTCTTAGGGTCAGGGCTTAAAGGCTTTAGGGGTTCAGGGTTTAGGGGTCTTAGGGTTAGGGCTTAAAGGCTTTAGGGGTTCAGGGTTTAGGGGTCTTAGGGTTAGGGTTTAAGGCTTTAGGGGTTTAGGGTTTAAGGGTCTTAGGGTCAGGGTTCAAGGCTCTAGGGGTTTAGGGTTTAGGGGTCTTAGGGTTGGGGTTCAAGGCTTTAGGGGTTTAGGGTTTAGGGGTCTTAGGGTCAGGGTTGAAGGCTTTAGGGGTTTAGGGTTTAGGGGCCTTAGGGTTAGGGTTTAGAGATGTAGGGGTTTAGGGTTTAGGGGGCCTTAGGGTTAGGGTTTAGAGATGTAGGGGTTTAGGGTTTAGGGTTCTCGCAGACCAGGCCACATACCCAATTCCCCGAACGTGTAAGTCCCAGACGCTTCAGCCTGAATGTACAATCTGTGGAAGTCGAGTAGTATACGCGGGATCTGTCTTACTTTCAAAGGGAGCCCCGAGATTGAAGAAAGCCACATATAATCAATACCGCCGCAACAACACGAATTGGGTCTGGTGGGTGGTGCAACTATGTAGGCACTATGCGGGAGATTGCAGAGATACGATTTCTCAGTTGTTCCGACCTCTATGTGAAGCTCCACTCACTTTTTCGGGTTTCCGGGACCCTTTGGACTTGTGGCATTTTTGGGGTTTAGGGTTTTACACAGTGTTTGAGGGTAGGAGGACATGTGCTGCGCATGCAGACCTGGCGCAGACGAACCGTAAATCCTGCAGCAGAAAGCGCGTATCTCTGGAAACCTCTGTCGCATTTCACTGAGCCGTCAACCCAAATGTAGGAAGTTTGGTGAGCTCCGTGTCGTTGAGAGCCTGAACATTAGGATCCTCCGTAATCCATATTAAGTGGAATGATTGCGCAGGGGCCCTGTGTTGTAAACGGCAGTTGAGCTCTTATCGGCTAGGGGTCTAAGCTTTAGGTTCAGTTTTTTCAAACTCCTGTAGAAAAAACTGTTCAAGCTCTTGCATTCGACTTACTTAATTATGACGCACAACAACACGATTCTGAAAGCAAAAGCAAGATCGTCCATGACCTTAAGCCCTGAATCGCATAATACTTTGCGATGGGCGTCAGCCTAGCCTAAGGACTGGGTTCAAGACCGGCGAGGGTAAGCTCCTTAAGCATAAACTTAGGGTTTAGGGTTTAGGGTTCCTAAACCCTGAGCCCCTTAAACCCTAAACTTCCCTAAACCCCCTAAGAATGCAAACCACATCGGGGTCCCAGGGTGTGTGTGCAGGAAACTCTCAGCCCGAAGCCCAATACGTAACTTCTAACTCCGCCATAAAAATGCCGCAGCAGACTTCAAAAGTCTAATTCATTAAGCCCTAAACCTCAAAGCCTTAAAGCACATCCAATAATCTTCCCCTAAACCCTAAACCCTAAACCCTAAACCCTAAACCCTAAACCCCCTAAACCCTAAGCCGTTAAAGCCTCTTGAACCACTGAAGTCTTCAATGCCCCGACTCGGTGATTCTGATGCCTTCTGCGAGGAGTTTCCGTGATCCTCTTGAATTGGGAGCCAAGGGGGTTCAGGGTTTAGGCTTCAGGGTTTTTCATGGTTCAGGGCGTGTCCCCCGCATGTATCCTCCGCATGCAGGTTTCGGAGCATCTTCGTGAAGCCGTGAGGACTGCACTTGAGGAGATCCGTCCAACCCTGGACTTACAAATGACCTCCTCAGCTTCGTGACGAGGGTCGGTGACAGGTGGCAAAGCGGGGGTGCGCAACGGACTACAGTCGTGTTGTCCAATGTCAGGGCCCGAAGCAGAGTACCCTAAACCCTAAACCCTAAACCCTTAAACCCTAGACCCTAAACCCTAAACCCTTAAACCCTAAACCCTAAACCCTAAACCCTAGACCCTAAACCCTAAACCCTAAACCCAGACTTAGGGCGAC